AGGCATTTGTTGTATGGACCCACTAGCACAGAGTCAGCCCAACCCTTGTAGTCTGACTCCTTTTGAAGACTGTGAGGTTTCCCAGGCTCAGTATTGCTGGCACTAGTTTTCAAGCAAAATTTCGAGGACTCCCCAGAAAAACATTAAAAGGGTTGTCCATTCCGCGCAAAATTCTGAGGACGGTTTCCGGGGGCTCAATTTTGGGGAGAGGCAGCAGCCGTGCCTCGCGCTCAAAACAAGTTCGTTAAGAGCTAACCTCACGAAAACCTTGGGAACACCTGATCACATCATCCCAATCACGTCGCCCCATCACGCAAGCATCAATCTATCCCATAGACAACCACCTCCACGGAACAACCCTTGGCTACGCTGTTGAATTGGGGTTAAAACGATCATGAAGCTCTGTGATGCAGGAGTTCATTAGGTTTTTTGGCAGCCCCCAGCCAGGTGTGAGCTCGGCAACTACGTGCCAACGGCAGGGGCCAGCAAGTGTCTGCCCTGCGGCAAGAATCAGATCACTCTCTACAGTGGGGCTGAGTCAGAGTCGGAATGCATCTGCGAAGAGGGTTCTTTCATGTGCGCGAGCCGAATGTGCTTGCCTTGCCCAGAGGGTCTGTACTGCCCGAGAGGTTTAGGGCTTCCTCAGCAGCAGGGTGGCTTTTGGACAAGGGCCGCTTCCTTGGACCAGTGTGACTTTGCAGTTCTCCGCTGCCGGAATGAGTACCAGTGCCCTGCAGGGGCCTTGGGCACATGTGCGGCTGGCAGGGAAGGTCAAGCCTGCAACAATTGCAAGGTGCGCCACTTCCCTACAAGCGATGGGGCTTGCCAGACCTGCTTCGATGCTGATATCCTGCCCGCGGTCAGCGTTATGATCCTGGCTCCAGCTGTTCTGATCCTGAGGAGTTGCACAAGCATGGATCCAAACCAGCAGAGCCGTTTGGAGCTTTCAGGGAAGGGTTAGGATCAATGAGAGTGTGCGAACCACAGCAATCCAACGCTGCACGCTGGCTTAGATCCCATTCCTGACAAGCCTAATTCCCAAGCTGTTGATTCATTCGCAGCGAGTCTTGGCGCCTGCACGTCGCCGAATCCCCTCCCCCTGCAATATTAATCCCACACCCCCCTAGCATTGAAACCTCCCCATGGTGGCATATGAAAAAGTCGGAGTATTTAATATTCGTGGTTTAATATTAAAGGGAGTGGATTATCTTTGGTTCAGGTCTCAATGTGCTGACGGCGGCTGCGGTTTTCAGTCAGATCATCATTGCTATCCAAGCCCTCGGGTCCATCCAGAGGCTTGCAATTGTGTGGCAAGAGCCAGCACGCACCATAGTTGAATTCACAAAGCTGCTGACTTTCGACTTCGACATAATCCAGATCTCGTGCTTCTACGGGACCGACAGCCCTTCCCTGGAGTTCATGAGTAAAATTCTTGCATGTCCGCTTGCGTGCACCCTATTATTGCTGAGCTGGTTTGTAATGAAGCTATGCGGCCGGCAGCGGCCACTGGACAGTGGCTTGAATGATGTTGATGGTCTGGCTGAAGGGTTGTGTTATTGCAATGTGTACTTGATTGTGAGGATCTGAGAATTCTCTAGCATGCCCCATTTTGTGCACAGCATACTAACCCTCATCTTGCGCAGGTGTCCTCAACCTGTGTGGGTTGCTGTTCTTTGCCTTCTTTTTATCCATTGCGCTCTCGAGCTTGATGCCGTTTCGCTGCGCACGCAATCCAGACGGCAGTTCATCGATGGCTTCGGACCCAGGCATCATCTGCTACGAATCGGAGGAGCATTTCGTTTTGGTGACCTTGGCAGCCATGGGCATCCTGAGCCAGCCCGTGACTATTCTGACTTGGGCTACTTTTGCCACTCTCATGTACCCCATGCGTGTTGCCAGTGGAAGTGGCCTGCGACAAGTGAACCGATACCGCTTCCTGTTCCATCGCTTTAAGCCACAGAGCTACTACTTTGGGCTTTTTCTGCTCTACCGGAACGCATTCGTGGCACTGCTTCCAGCCATATCCGCTGGTGTCGTAGAATACAGGTGCCAGCCATGGGCTTTATCCTGCTAACAAGTCTGGCGCTGCAAGCTCGAACCTTCCCCTGGCGAACACTGCATGCAAACGTCGCTGGCCTAATCAAAGGGAAACCTACAACTCACAACAGCTGCAACGCATCATGGGACCATGCGGATTCATTAGTGTTCTGATGGGAAGGGGCCAGCTTTGATTTGCCGGTGTGAACAGATGGGCTTGCAGTAGCTTAGTAGGGCCACGCAAGGTTCTCATGTCACATCATGTCACCCTGCGTTTCCCTGGGTTTCCTGAAGGGATAGGAATTCAGAGTGACATTGCTCAGCCGCTGCATGCCTGCATCGGGGGTTGCCGTCAATGATGAGGTAGTGGACCACCTCCTCGCGGTGCTCTTGCTTGTGCTCTTGCTGGGCGCGGCCCCACTTCTTGAAATTGACTTCGAAAATTCCTCCCAGGTCTTAGGATATTTGCTTTGTGTTCCCGTGTTTGGTTTGCTGCTGGTTGGCTTGGGTGGTCTAGCATGGACCGCCGTTATTCAATTGCGCCCGGCCACTCAATATGGAGTTTTCTTGTGCCACCACAAGGGCGGGGCTGGCGGCCTTTGCCGGCTGATGAAGATCCTCGTTGCCAGGCACACGTCCACCGGAGTTTTCCTGGATTGCGACCAACTGGAGAGCCTGGATTTTCTGTTTGATGTCATTCGGAAGTCGACGAAGAGCGTCGTAGTCGTTCTCACCCCGGAGCTCCTGAAGAGGGCTCGGAGCTCAGTTCCCCATGCGTGCCAAGAGCCTTTTTGCCATTCAGCCCATCCAACATCCCATAAAAGAAAGAAGGTAGGTGACTGTAATATGGCCACTCTTCGTGCTTCCGTTCCAGCAATGCTTGTACCGGCTGATTCCCTGACTAACATGAGTAAGGCTAGTGGCTGGTGCTATGGTGCTTGTGCCATTGCCACTCTAACAGGGAAAACCGTTTAGAACAACGTGCTGTAGTGAGAATCTGTGAAGATGAGTTTTTGGCCTTCAGGCTTCTGCTTGTTTTGCTGCTCCGACAATCATTGTGTTTGGGTTGCATTTGATCCTTGCTGGTTGCTGGTCACTCAGGTGTGGTGCGCCGGCGAAATCACAACGGCCTGGAAGAACGGGATCACCACGGTGCCGCTCATTTGTGACGGCTTCCGTCCTCTTTCGGATGAGGCCCAGAAGATGATTCCGACTCTTTGGACGCCGCAGCAGAAGCAAATCCTCGCGAACTACGGGGTGGAAATCGAGGCGGTGAACACAGCCTACGGATGGATACAGCACGATTTGGACAGTATTGACATGCCGCGTTTTGGTCACTCAGCAGGGACTCTTCCAAAAAAAAGGGCTGGATGACTAGGACATGCAGTGTCCATGAGTTCATAGTATGGGTTTGCAGCAGGGAACTGTTCAGGCTCATCTTGTTGGCTCCCGTTCCTAGGCGTTCGCCCATCTGTCTCCTAGTCCAATGAGAGTCCTGGCTGTCAACTCCTTCTGTGGTACAAATCCTTTTTTCACGCGCAGTTGTGTGCTGAGCTCCTATAAAAAGCAGAGACGCCGACCATGTCCCGAGATGAAAATCAACAGCCACGGTACTTAACTTCAGCGCAATTTCAAAGTCTTCGCCGCTGTTGAGAAACGCTGGCTTGCTCCGGCTTCATTGGTCTTGGGATGTATGCAGAACCAGAAGCTGGAGGGGAGGGGGGCTGCCCGAGGTTCTCCCAAGCAAAGAAACCAATAAGAAGGGCATTTATTGTTTGGAAAGTAAGAACTGCTTTGCGAAGAGTCGCAAGTCTAGTGTAGGGGTCCATGATCCTCACTAGTTCCTTGAGCTTGAATGACGGCCTCCTTATCCCCACCCTGGAGTGCATCGTTGCGAAAACAGATCGGCATGGCGTAGAATAAAGGTCGCAGTTCAATTTGAATACAATGATAGGACGCAATCTGGGGATTATCAGGGTTGATCGGCCTGGGTGAGGAGAGCATTTCAAAAAGGGTTCGATCCTTTTGCTACTGCACATGCATGCTGTGGGCACACGCAGCCCTAGGGTGGCTTGCTCGAGTTTGCATGCGTAGGCGGTTTTGAACCAGTTTTTGCGTCCTGGAAGATTTTCGCTGGTCCAAGACATAAGACCTTAAGAAGATGCTATTGCCGCTGTTGGCAAAAATGCGTGGGAAATTTTGGGCAGACAGCATGGCTCAGTTGTTGAGTTCCAACAACACACAAAGTCAGCACATGACGTGTACCACATGTTGTGAACGCTTTAGGCATGTCCAACTGCACCACCGTCTTGCGGAATCTGCTAGTGTGTTGGGCATGGCGCTCAGACAATGTGACATGCGCATGGGAAAAACGTTGCGGAATCACAAGACATGCCTGTATCAGCCGATGCGCCGCTGTGCCCATTGCCTCTTTGCAGTGGTTTTTTCTAGTCCATGAGCCTGAAGGGGCACATGTTTGCCCTTCACCTCGTGATATGGGGGAGTTTCCGGTGGGCAGCATCCCCTGTGCGCGAAATTTAAGGGGCAATTCCAAGACGGAATCCTCATTCGCATACTACACTTCTGCTCTACATGACGCAGGTCAGCAGGCGTGAGGAGGCAGTGATGGAGATGCTGATCCGGTGTGGTCTTCCACCGGCTTCCGGCGCTTCGGGAAGGCTGCGCAGAATCACATCCACGCATCTCTCCGCGCAGGCCTTGGCCCCCAACAGGGCACGGATTCTGATCACCAGCTCCACAGCTGATGCAGAGAGCCTTTCTGCCTGTGAAGTCTTCCAGCTGATGCTGCAGGCCAACCAGTTTTTTTGCAGCTTGCGCATCCTGATCTGTAAGATGAACTTGCAGTAGCTTGCATGATTTTGCATGTTTGGCTTCAGTTGTACAAGGCCTACCTCCAGGTTGAATGCGCAGTCGTTCATGGTTCTCGGCAGATGGTGAGCTGGAAGCCTTGGGCCTACTACATGGTGGTCTTGCTTGTTCGGGGCCTCTTCCGTGATCCAGGCTTCGAAAGGATACTGGCCGCCGCCTTCAGTGCACATGGTCGTCGCCTTGAGCTTGTTACTGTCCTTGCGGACTCGCACTTCGACTTTCCGAACCTGGACATGGTGGGGCCTTCGGCCAGTGTCAGCCCCACCCTGAAGGATGAAAAAGCGGAAAGAGAAGGAGAACGCTCAGCAAGCATGGACAGTCCCAGGAGCCGGCTTCTCGCTGAGGCTCTCTGTATAGAGCCTTTTCTAGGGATACGTAGCGTGATCTTCAGTAGCAGCCCTTGCCTGCAGAAAAGCCTGCATGCAACGACGTAGTCCTTCTCATTTGATGGCCCTGCAGAGGCCAAGCGCGAGCTTCTGAACGTACTGGCCTTGCCCTTCTCGCCTTTGGCATCAGAGGGACTTCAGCAAAAGCAAGTTGCGGAGGTGGCCCATCGCATGCACAGATACGAGGCAAGCATGCATGTGAAATTGTGAAGCGGGCACGCAGCAGGCAGCCTTCCCATGGCTTTTCCTATTCCAGTGATGGTGTGCTTTCCCACAGCTCTTGCACTTAGCATTTTTGCATGTTCCATGCGATGGTCGCCCCTTGCGAAGGACCCGGCGAAGGCCGCTAGCCTGGACGAAGTGGATGACCGAAACGTGGTTGCTGATTTTCGGGACAGCTTGGAGGCAAATCTTTCCGAAGCAGTTCACGTGTGCAGTGAGGATGACGCCCAAGAAAATGACATGCAAAAGGATGACGTGTCTCTGCGAAGTGACTATGTATCTATTTAATCTGCGTGGGCAGCAGCATGCAAGTCCGGATCCCGCTGCCAGAGTTTTTTTCATTACTTGAAGTTGTTGTAGTTACCGTGGATGACGTCTTTGAGCTGTGGAGTATTGGGCTCCAACGTCCGTACCAACTGCCAAAGCTTCACTGTTCACCCTGGTCGTGCGTGCTCTTTTGACGAAGTCAACCAGCGCGCACAAATGGCAGACTCCTAGATTTCGTATGTACCAGTCCACGTTTCTGAGGCAAATGGCCACAGCCTGTCAGAGTTTACAAGCTCTACGGCAGAGAACGGAAAACAGTCGCCACAGTCAATGAGTGTTGACTTGCAATTAAGTGCGCAAAGCCCTCGTGCCAGGGGAGGTTGGCTGTGTTATGACTAGCGCGAGCAAGATCAGCGAAGGTCCCGCGACCTTGCTGCCCACGTGGCTTTTGCATGCTCAAGGAAGAGAAGGTGTACTTTTCCAGATTTTCAGACTGTCCTAAACTCATTTTTCATTACAAGTCGCAGCAGTGCTTTTCTCACACCGCAAGCTCTTAATCACGTCACGTGGGCATAGCCTCCTTTGTGTTTGATGCCTTTCTCCATCGTCATCCTGCTGTTGGCCACGTTTTCGACATGTGCCAGGTCAGAGTTGTCCCTTGGAGCCCTTGGCGCGTGGACAGCTTATTCGCCTGATTCGCTGGTGGCAATCATTGCCGCACACCTGGATTACCAGAAGAACTGGGATGCAGCCGTGGCCTCGAGGTTCGGTCCCCCACTTGTCACCATTCCTAAGGGAGTGCACCCAAATGCAACGACCATCAGCCTTCGAATCGGAACGACACATGCGCAGCCTGACGTCGGAGTCGCCACCGCCTTGGACCTAATGCTGGGACTTGATGGTGAGCCACCAGTCAGGGGACTGATTGGTGCGAGTTTATCTTCTGTTACCATGCCTATCGCAACTATGAGCGCAGTGCAGCAGGTTGGGTTTTGCTAAAGGCCTTGCAATCCCTCCATCCCAAGCATAAGAGGGACGGATAGCTCCCGCTCTCAAAACCACAGCCGCAGTTGTTCTTCTGCTAGCAATGTAGGCTGCCGCTTCTTTTTCCTGTATGTAAAGGGGAACCGAAGCTGTCAGCAACGGTTTGCCAGGTCTTTGCTGCCTTGGGAAAGGGCTAAGGCTTGGACTGAAGAGATCCCTTCCTGTATCCGGAATAGTCCTTCAGGTGTTGCTGCCTTTTCAAGGTTGGGGATTAGCTGCTATAGCGCATTGTACAGATGCTTCCCCATCTTTCTGCTCGTGGTCTGACCGCTTTTACCCGGACAACATTCCTTGTGAAAATGCACGGCAGGTCCCTCAGGTGTCTTTTTCCGCCACGAGTGACAGCTTGTCCAACAAGGACTCCTACCCGTTCTTCCTCCGAACTGCTCCACCCGACGCCATTCAGGCGCGAGCGTTATGGAGTTGGATTTTGCATTTCGAAGTCACCTTGGCAACTTGCTTGTACACCACGGAGGGGTATGGCCAGGGCCTGTACAACTTTCTTAAGGAACTGGCACAGGCTGACAGCCAGCAAAGCCGCGTCCAAGGCCAGGGGCTGCGTGACATGCTGCAAGAATTCATACCAGAAGAGGCCCGTGCAGTTGCAAGAACTGCCCGAAAGATGGGCTCCCGCTTCATCATCCTGCTTTTGAGCCACGGCATGGCTACGAGGATGTTACCAATATTGGAGGAGGAGGGAATGCTGGGCGCGGGTTGGCAAGTAGTCGGATCGGACGCTGTGGCCCATCGAGGTAATGTCCCTGTTGGGTTTATGTTCTTCATGTCGGATGGCAAAGGTGCAAAATTCCCAGACTTTGAGCATCTTTGGTCATTGCTTACCCCAGAAGACATCATTGGTCCGGAGAGCCAGGCAAGGTACAAGTTGCTCAGCGCTTTGAGGGGCAGTTGTTAGGCTTTGCCGCTAGGAGGTTACAGTCGTAGAGGGTGGTACAGGTCCTAGGCACGTCTTACACGCATGTCCAAATCCGAGGTTGGACAAGATGAAAAGACCTTTGGCCAATGGCTCTGTTGAGGCACTTCTATCCCAATCCGCTGTTTCAGCATATGCAGCATTCGCCTTCGATGCCTTTTATGCGTTCATCATTGCCATCAACCAGCTCCTCCATGCGGGGACACCTGTCATCGCGATTCATGGGGAGTTGCTCAAAGACGAGATGTTTAAGACGAGCTTTACCGGTGTATCAGGAGAGGTGAGCTTCGATGGGAACGGTGACCGTTTAGCTGCCTATGAGCTTTGGAACGTGCAAATCACTGACCGCGTCAGCTCCAAAGCCGAGGCAGTAGTTGCAGCCTCCTTCAGTGCATCCACTTTAGCTTTCACCTTCTACAGAGATTTGGTCTGGATGGATGGCTCTAATCAGAGTCAACCCCCGCCCCAGCTCTATTCTTGCGATCCTGGCTTCTACAAGGAAGAGCAATCCAGGCAGTGTAAACTATGTCTGAAGGGCAAGATGTGCCAGGGAGGGGCTTCGGCTCCTGCCATTCGCTGTCCACGAGGCAGCTTTGCGAACGACACGGGCCAGACGATGTGCCAACTCTGTGCTGCGGGCCGCTCCGCCCGGGACGTGGGCTCCGTGGAGTGCGCTCCCTGCCTGCCGGGCTACGAGGCGCCCGAGGAAGGCATGGAGGCCTGCACCAGGCGGGGAAGGCATTCAATAAAGTGTGTTAGATTGTTTCCGTCGCCTGTGAGAAACAGAAACATGCACATGTACGTGTACACACTCTGTAAAGCTGTAAAGGAAAACAGACATGCGATCCTGTCGTTCAGCGATAGGGTTGTTGGCAGCCCCCAGGTGTAAGCCCGGCAGCTACGTGCCAACGGCAGGGGCCAGCGAGTGTCTGCCCTGCGGCAAGAATCAGATCACTCTCTACACTGGGGCTGAGTCAGAGTCGGAATGCATTTGCGAAGAGGGTTCTTTCATGTGCGCGAGCCGAATGTGCTTGCCCTGCCCAGAGGGTCTGTACTGCCCGAGAGGTTTAGGGCTTCCTCAGCAGCAGGGTGGCTTTTGGACAAGGCCCGCTTCCTTGAACCAGTGCGACTTTTCAGTTCTCCGCTGCCGGAATGAGTACCAGTGCCCCCCAGGGGCCTTGGGCACATGTGCGGCTGGCAGGGAAGGTCAAGCCTGCAACAATTGCAGGATGCGCCACTTCCCTACAAGCGATGGGGCTTGTCAGGCCTGCACCAATGCTGACATCCTCCCTGCGGTCTGTGTCCTCACTTTGGTGCTCGGCCTGCTGTGCTTTCTCAACATTGCGAGCCTGGGGCCAAACCAAGTCAGCGCCGAGGCTGCAGATCCCTGCCAGTATGTCTTCATACTGCACTTCAAACTCATAAGATGCTCGTTGCAGTGCTCATAGTTCTTAGGGCGAGAAGTGTTGGCCTGCAAGCATGAGCGAGAGCACCAGGGTCTGGTTTGCTCTCTAGATTGCAGAGTGGAACACGCACTAAAGCTTTAAAAAGCGCACACCAGACGAAGCCAGCAGGCCTGAAAAGGGAGACCTTCCTTGCTTCAACTCAGGCTTGAATACCTTGACAGCGATTGCAATAACCAGCCTGGCCCCCAGCAAATGCCAATGTTAGAGACTTTTCGCGAGTTGGTCAAATCTCAGGTCAATTGGTGATGGCATTACAAGCTTTGGCTTCTATTCGGGAACTGTCAATCACATGGCAAGAGCCTGTGAGGACATTGATTGACCTTGCCAAAGTCATGGCCTTTGATTTTCAGATGATTCGACTGTCATGCCTTTATGGAACAGACAGCCCTTTGCTCCTCTTCACAAGTCAGCTGCTGGCATGTCCAGCTGCCTGTGGATTCTTGTTGTTGAGCTGGCTCTTGACCAAATTGTTTGGGAGACCAAAGCCGCTGGATTTCGTTTTGAACAACTGTGGATTGCTCTTTTTTGCTTTCTTCTTGTCCATCACGCTGAGCATGCTGGTGCCCTTCCAGTGCGTGCCCTGGCTGAGATATCGGGCTAAAAAAGGGCGGGCGGCTTCCAGAATAGTCAGTCACGTGGGGTTGGATTCTTGAGGCACCCAATCCAGATGGCAGCACTTCAATGTCCACAGACCCTGGCATTGTGTGCTACGAGTCGGATGAACACGCTGCACTGGTGGTTTTGGCGGTAGCGGGATGCCCGCCTACATTTCATCTCTGCTTAGACGAAGGTGTCTCAACTGGGTGCAGATTTTCAGAGAGAGTTTCAGTCAATTCAGGAATCCTGACTCAACCAGCGCTCGTCCTTGGATGGGCCGTTGCCTCAGCTTGAAGGGCTGTCTTTCACGGGGAGCTACGCAGTCAGCTGATCAGCTGAGGCCACATTTGCAATTGCAATGTACCCGTCGCGTGTGGCCACAGGAAGGGGCCTTCGACTAGTGAACAGGCACCGCTTTCTGTTCCATCGCTTCAAGCCGCAGAACTACTACTACGGCTTGGTCCTCCTCTATCGCAATGGTCTGGTTGCCATCTTGCCTATTGTGCTGATTGGAATTCCTGAACTTCAGGTGCCTTTTCTGGGTACAGTCTTGCTCGCCAGCCTCATAGCACAGGCTCACACATGCCCATGGCGAACTGCAAGGGCCAATGCCGTTGACTTGCTTCTACAAGCGTTTTTGCTTGTGACCCTTCTGGGAGCTGCGCTGCTGTGCTGCAATTCACTTGGCGGGTATACCGTGAAATGCTTTAAAATGTGTACATGCAAATTGCGTGGGGTTCCTGGCAATCTTCGTGAAGATTCGGGGCAATGGTAGTCTGCGGCCAAATCAAGAATCACCAGTTGGCACGGAGTCTGACGGCGCTAGCTAGATGCTTTCTTTGACCGCATGGATTGACTAGCTGTCGTCATGGAGACTCTATAGCAATCAGCTTAAGTGAGCGCACTTGTAAGCACACAGTTAAACGGATGATTCCTCCGCATTCCATCTGCAAAGAGAAGGAGAGACTGACACCCATGCGCAGCCGCATGCAGCATAATCAACTCAAGACTCGCGCGTGCAACTTCAAATTTGGAACAGGAATGGTATGAAGGATAATTTTGAAGCGCGAAGTTTCTTGCTAAGCTTCTTGCTCCTTGGACAACTTGAACCTGCTACTTCGGGACTGCAACCGGTTTGGGCGCATGCTGAGGAAGTCGAAATGCCTCGAGGTTCAAGGCACAATATTCTGTCAGTATTTGAGGGCACGGGCCCCAAGGATAAGCAGCGCTGCACCGGTGGTTGAGAACTTAAATTAGTTGAGGTATGTAGTCTGTAAGGAACAAAAACTGACCCAGGGCCGGAATCTTTGCAGATACAGACGGACATTGCAGTTGATCTCCCGTGAGCTTGGGCTTATACGTCCACTTCTTTCTAGACCTGAATTGCGTGCGTAGTGTCTGCAATGTAAAGAAGCCTTTGCGTTCCAGGTGGCAAATCGCATGGAACGTTAAATTCTGGGGGCAGGCAAGAAGACAGAAACATACCGAAACCATTGCAGTGTCATCAGTAATTAGGGCAGGGCATGCTGGCTAATTCTCTGGGCTGTCTACAGCTGTTCGAGAGCATCTGATTTTCCTAGGCCGCTTCTACAAATGAACGAAAGCAAGTCCACAGCAGTGCTCGGCTGGCTACTTTGCATACCCGTGCTGGGGATTCTGATTGTGGCAGTGGCTGGCCTCGTCAAAGCAGCCATCGTTCATTTTCAGAAGCGGCAGCTCTTTGGCATCTTCCTTTGTCATCACAAAGGTGGTGCAGGTAGCCTTTGCCGGCTGATGAAGATCCTGATTGCAAGGCACACTTCCACGCGGGTTTTCCTAGATTGCGATCAGTTGGAAAATTTGGATTTTCTTTTCGACATCATAAGAAAGTTGACGAAGAGCGTCGTGGTCGTTCTCACTCCAGAACTTCTGAAGAGAGCTGGACGCTCAGTTTCTCAAGGCAGTCAGCAGTTGAGCAGCAAACACTTTGCCTGTCCTGTCCCATGCTACTATAGGGTTATTTGATTCTAACACGATGCACACGGGCATGCACCTTGCAGGGAACACGACGGGCAACTGCTCAGGATAGAAGGATGGATGGAGGCACACGCATTGTTTTCGTAAGATAGCTGGCACTCACTGTGCATGACTCTCGCAGGATTTGATTAGCGCAAAAGAGATTGCCGGGCGACAGCTACATGACATCACAAGTTATCACAAGCAGCATGTCAACTTGTTTGACTACTTTGGGCACGATGATGCAAAACAGAAGACAGCAGACAAAACCCTCGAGACCATAAGTCAAATGCTTTCCTTCCTCAGCTTGTTCGCCTTCCACCCATGCGGCAAGCACGAAACATAAACATACACTGGCAGCCCACCCAGTGCAAGAGTGAGCAAAGCTTCAGCAACGGCCCGAGGGCGAAGCCACAGAAGACCTTAGAAAACACACCAATCTCCGTGTGCATCGAAGTAGAACAAACCTTTTACCCAAGGGTTCCCGTATTGGCAAGTCGCCCCCGCCAGCAACTGAGCAGCAAACATGGCGTAACACAAACATGGCCGTCGCCGCCGTCGTCGTGGGATAGAGGTCCTGTCTTAGGAGTTGCACACACGCCAAGACCCCGTATAGAGCGATTGTTAAACTCCACTTCATTTAATTCGACAGTGATTTCTCAACAACAAAGAGCATAGATGATTGTAAATAGTGACATGATGTGACATGGGATGTCGCGGGCTAACACACGCCATATCAAACCTTGACATCTTCCGTTTTAGCAGCGCTCATCCCTTTCTCCGGGACTGGCGACTCGCTTAGATGCGTGCCATGACCACGTGAATGGGAGGAGATGAACATCATAAGAACAGGTCAATGGGTGCAATACAGGTGCCACAGCACGGATCCATGATTTTTGGCATAAGTTTGGGGCCTCGGGGCCTCCAGATGTGTTTGTTTCTACTTCTACTGCAGCTCACGTAAAGCCAGTTGAATAGGTGTGGTGCGCCGGCGAAATCACGACGGCCTGGAAGAACGGGATCACGACGGTGCCCCTCGTTTGTGACGGCTTCCGTCCTCTTTCGGATGAGGCCCAGAAGATGATTCCAACTCTGTGGACGCCGCAGCAGAAGCAAATCCTCGCCAACTACGGGGTGGAAATTGAGGCGGTGAACACAGCCTACGACTGGCTACAGCATGAGTTAGTTCCTCTCAAGATGCCCCGGTTTGGCCCCGCAAAGATCTTAGATGAAGCTCAGGCAAACCGTGCAAAGCATGCAGGTGCAGCATGTGCAGAGAGTTGTTTGACTGATCTTCCGCTTTTTGCCAAGGTTGCAAGCCGAGAGACGGTGGTTGCGGAGATGCTGCGATTGTGCGGTCTCGCTGTTTCAATCCGAACGCCAACTCTGAACAGTCTGAACATTCTGTCCTCATCCTCTTCGCAAGCCCTTCCCGCAAGGGCCAGAATTCTCATCACAAGCTGTGTTGCAGATTCCGAGGCACTATCAGCTTGTGAAGTCTTCATGTTCATGCTCCAGAATCACTTGCGTGTTGAGTGTGCAGTTGTTCAAAGTGCTCGACAAATGGCAAGTTGGAAGCCCTGGGCCTACTATCTTGTCGTCCTTCTATTCCGGGGTATGTTTCGCGATCACAGCTTTGCCAAGATCATGTTACATGCCAGCGAAAGAGCACTCAGTTGGCCAAGCGGTCGGAGTTTGGAGTTGGTATCTGTTATAGCCGACACACATTTCGACTTTCCCAGTATGGAAAGCCTGGAGCCAGACGCGTACATATGGCAGACGGATGGCGACCAGCATGGCGACCAGCTTCTTCCTGAACTTGCTGACGCAAAGCTCCTTCATGTTTCTTTGCTTCATCACTCTTCTCTTCGGCGGTCAGAACATGCAGGGCGATTGTTTTAGGTGGTTTCGGCAAACATCCTACATTGAAGCTGAGCTGCTTCTGCAAATGTTGGAAGGCTCTGGTCAACAGAAAATGCTTGACTAAGAATCCTGTCTCCGCCATACCGTACGTAGCATCTGGTGTCCGAGGTTTTTCAGAACTTGCTCAATGTCTTGGCGTTGCCTTTTTCGCCTTTGGCATCAGAAGGCTTGCAGCAGAAGCAAGTGGCGGAGATCACAGGCCGCATGCACAGATACAAGGACCGGATAAACCAGACCTGCCTTCGGGCAAGTGGCCAGCATGTAGCAAACTCTCTTGTTTTGAAGTCACTTAGCTACTGTTGAGGATCCGGCTGTCGCAGCCTCAATGGATGAGGTGGATGATAACGAAATCTTTGATGTGGAAGCCTCCTGTGAGTTTGCCTCATCCCTCTATGGCTCAGAGAGAGGCGGCTTCATCCCACAGGCCTGGCCTTGGAGTTTCCAAAAACTGCGCAGTTTCCTGTGAAATTTTGGATTTGCAGAAGGGAAAGTTGTGGATTGCACACCTCCAGGCCTAGGCTAGGCAGCATGTCCTGTTGCAAACAGCTTGGTTGGCCAACTTGCCTAGAACTGTCCGACCTCATCAGGCCCTGAGCATGCTGAGCGATGACGGCTTCGATCTCCGTAGCGAGACATTTTCTATGTAGCTCACGGGCATTGCGCACCAGTCTCAAATTGCCACATCTAAAGCTTTACGGGCAGGGACCCGGCCGTACCCGTTGTACAGTTGTGTTTTGCCAAGCCTTTCTTCCTCTCGGCGGCTCACAAGTGAGACCGCAGGGTCGGCTTCAGCAATCAAGCCATATTTCTTTAGAAAAGCTTCCCACGCAACCCAGCCTAAGGCAAAGCAGTTCCAGGGCCAAGCTCAGGAGCGCAAGCCAAAATAGGCTGCTTGAGTCAAAGACTTGAAGCTCGTGATTGTGCGTCAAACGGAGCTCCAATCTCGAAATCTAGTTGGCCTCTTGGGCTATTGCACGGCTTTTGACAACTTCCGGAATCGGAGATGCGCAGGTGTGCGCCAGAAGGCAGAGGCCCCCCACCTGAATGCCACCCCAAAAAATTGCAGCATTGGCCGGCCCCCCCCCCCGCCCCTCCGCTAACATACCTCCCGCCGAAGTATTAACCGCCCAGCCCGCCAACTCATTCCAAACCTCCAACCTAGAGCATACCTCAATAACAAGCCGCGGCCACTTGCGGCCATTTCGCTCGCGCGCGGGGCCTAGCTTTTCCAGCTCACCTTTAAAATGCCAGGCTCTAAAATCTCCGAGATTTTTGGTGCGGGCGGCGTGACCAAAAATCTCGGAGATTTTTGGTCGCGCGGCCTTTGCCTCGGGAGCGGTCTTCCTCCTGATTTATCTCTCTTTGGCTGTCTGCGCAGCTGCTCGGTGGAGCGCATAGACCCAGGACGGAGAACCCAAATCTTTCCGAATTTATAGGTTGGCCGTGGCTGTCCACGAGGATTTATGCGCTCTCCCAAGTTGTCGCGCAGATAGTCCAAGAGAGATAAATGAGGCGGAAAGACCGGGCCGGGTGCGGGGGCTGCGCAGCCAAAGATCTCCCTAATACATTATAACCCTGTTATAGTAGTTTCCATTTTCTTTTCCATTATCCCTATATTCCCTATATATACCTATTATAACCCCCGAGATTTCACCTCTCAGCTTGGCCTTTTTGTCACGTGCGGTCCACCGCATACTTGCATATTGATTGTGCGTTGGACTCCGCATGCGATAATACGTTGCTTGCTCGGGCTTCTTCTTATGGAAACTCTCAAACAAATATTTTCCGTTGTTGTAGGTAGCGGATCAACTCTAGTACTATAATAGATTCACATCTCAATGTTACGGCGCGGTCACTTGCGGCCATTTCGACCGCGCGCCTAGGAGCTCTAAAATCTCGGAGATTTTAGAGCCCTTCAGAAAAGCTAGAGGCTCTAAAATCTCCAAGATTTTTGGTGCGGGCGGCACGACCAAAAATCTCGGAGATTTTTGGTCGCGCGGCCCTTCCCCCCGGAGCTATTTTCCGCGTGATTTATCTCTCTCTCTGGCTGCCTGCGTGGCTGCCATTCGGCGGGTGCTCCCCCGATCCGGCACGCAACAATTAGCTCAAAAGATATAAATGAAGCGGAAATTCCGGGCTGGAGAGCTGGGGGGCAGGAATAAAATTCGCCCGAGATTTCGAAGCATTTCTATTTCTTTGGTTGTGTGTAAACCTTGCCCATCGGAGCGGTCTTCCGCGTGATGCATCCCCCAAAGCTTTGGGCGCACACGCGGCTGGTCGGCAGAACGTATAGACCTAGGACGGAGAATCCAAATCTTTCAGAGTTTATAGCTTGTCCGTATTAGTTTACGGGCGTTAGATAATTGAAGCGGAAAGATCGAACCGGAGATTTCGGTAAATATCTCATTAGATTTCGGATTATTTCTTGCTCTTTGGTTGTCTACGTCACGGCTCGGCGGAAAATATAGATCCGAGACAGGAAGCCAAAAATCTTTCAGAATCTGAAGATTAGCCGTTTTCCTGATATCTTCAACCAGACCTTTAAGTTTCTCAATAAAAATCAAAAGATGCGGTAATTTTCAAGATTTCGATGTGGTTGATGTTGGAGAAGATACTATATTGATAATAAATTATTGGGATTAATGACGAATTGATATTTCTTGGGCAAATTTCTTTAGATTTACGAGATTTGATGAGCTTAAGAGAAAGATTAGTAATGAAAATATCTACGATTAACAAACATATTTATCATTATATTAAGATTTTATAGAATGATTTGATTATATTCTTTTATTAGATAAGCAATTATTATACGAAGCTGCATGAAATATCAAAAGGAATAGAATTTCTCTCTCCAGCTCTATTATATTATAGATGCAGAACTACGTCTCTTTCTCTGCCGTGAAATTCGAATTGATATTTTAGCTTCATATATCCGAGGAAGATTATACGTATGATTGCATATAGATTGAGCGATAGAAATAAATTATATGAGATTGCTCGGAAAAAAAATTATTAGATTCTGGGAGATCTTTCTAAATTTTTGGATTCATCTATAAATCCGCTTCGCCGGGAATGCCTCGAGATGAATATCTACTTCTTGGAGGACCCCAAATGCGTTATTAGCTTGGCAGGCTTCATATTCAAAATATCAACGCATATTCAGGATACGGGATATCAAATTGCGAGGAAGTAGGATTTGGAATTCTATCTATTGATTACTTCTATATCAGATAGCTTGCCGTTATGCGTCGCTCGAACGATGATGCTCTGCTGCTATAAGCAGCGGATCCACTCTAATATTATTAATGCAAATTTGGTCATCATAATCTTCTCATTCTCTTTGCTCAGAATATAATACTAAGCTTCAATCCTCAATCTTCAATCTGATCCCTTCTATTCCTTGCTAAAATGCTAAATGCTATATAGATTTATTCGCTATCTCTTTCTTATAGGAAAGGGGCATACCTCTTTCAAGGATCTTGCCCATTAGATTGATTATATATTTTGAATTTATCTATTTCAATTCCCCGAAGATAGAGGAATTTATTTTTCTCAATAATATACGATTTATTTATTTTAGATTAATATCATTGCGCGCCCTTTATCTATATATCTGCTAGAATTAAATGGGATCTGCTAGAATTAAATAGGTGCAGGAATTTTTCTCGAAGGAATATAAGAAATGATATGGGATATCTTGATTGGAATTTTGATGATATGGCGGGATATATTTCTTTATTCATGTCTATAGAATCATTTCGTCATCTATTTCAGATTTTTGATTATCGATTTGATTTTTCTGATATTTGAATATAAAGGGAATTATTATGAAATTAGAATTGATTAGTTGCTTCCAATAATCTATAAAAATTATCTGAGATTTCTCATAATGAGGAATCTGATGAATAATGATCATATTTGATCGCTTATAAAAATCGATATCAAATTAAGATATGATATTGCGCATGATGAAAATGATTATCTTATAGATTCTGAAAGATTTTTGATTTCCGTCTCGGATTTATCTTTTCGAGCGAGCCGCCGTGCTGCTAATCAAAGAAATAGAAATGATATGAAATCTCGAGAGATTTTTATTATGCAGTCTTCGTATCGTTTTCTATTTTATCTATTTCTCTCGAATTATCTGCACGACGGATCGGGAATATATATAAATCTCCGTAGATTGATACGAGAATATCTATAGCGGGAATCTCAATGAATAATCAATATATAAGATCATATTTGAAAATTGATGATCAATCAAATTATAAAATCGTATCTAATAAAATAGTCAATATATAAATTCTGAAATATTTTAAATCTCCGTCTCAAGATTAGATATTCTTCCGAATATTCGCGCAGATATATGAAAAAAGATAAATCACGCGGAAAATCGCTCCGAATCCAAAGATTGCGCAATCAAAAATATCCGAGATTTTTGGTCGCGTCGCCCGCGCAAAAAATCTCGGAGATTTTAGAGTCTCTAGCTTTTCCTCAAGGCGTAAATTTAGAATCTTTAGGAAGCATTTTAATGGAGAGTCGGAAGAGCTAGGTCGCGCACGAGCGAAATGATCGTAAACGACCGCGCCGTATTATTGAGATATATTCTTCATTTGATATTTCAATGAATAAATATATTATCGATTGAATAAATTAAGAGATATTCGTGCATTTTTCTTTTTTCTTCTCTCTATTTATAAGAATAGATTGATTTGATGATATATTTTCGTTCATAGATTATTCTCAGATGATAAAAATTCAAAGATAGAAAAATATATCAAAATATTTGATCTGATTTGATTATGATTTCATGAACTAGGCGGATAATCGTAATCGAATTGATTTTTTTTATTTAGATATATGATTAAACGAATATTTTCTTATAGATATTAATCAGAGAGATAATGAATTGGAAGATCTTATGATATTTCTATTTATATCTTTAATAGATTTTGAATTTATATATTTATAATAGGAAGATATAATTATATATTCTTATTCTATATTGATATAGAATTCATATGAACTAATTTCGTTTTATTTTAATCATCTCTAAAATATTTTTCCGAATACGTAGCCGAAGGATTCTCGTTCTAAGATTGGGGTCCAGGGATCCAGGACTCGATGCGACGTCCTTGCATTTGTAGACGCAAGCGTCCGCAATCGTTCGTAATCGTCCGCAACCATTCGAGGAGCATAGGATTTGCGTCGGACATTGCCGGAAAGACGAAAATCGTCGTGAAACGCAGAATTGTCGTCATTTTTTACGTGTCGCATTACAAAAATGTCAATAGTCGCAGGGATCGGGAGGGTCGTGGTCGCGAAACGCAGAATTGTCGTTCAGTTTCGATTCGTCTCGGGTCTTCGCATCTCAAAAAAGTCAATAATCGCAATGATCGGGGAGATCTTGGTCGCGAAATATAGAGTTGTCGTCATTTTGGACTCGTCTCGGGTCTTCGCGTCTCAAAAGTGTCATGCGTCGGGTCTGCGCGTCTCAAAAGTGTCAATAGTCATAGGGATCGGGGGGGTCGTAGTCGTGAAATGCAGAATTGTCGTCTTTTTTGGACTCGTCTCGGGTCTTCGCGTCTCAAAAGTATCAACAGTCACGAGGATCGGGGGGGTCGTGGTCACGAAACGCAGAATT